GGCTGAACGCCCCAGCCAGCAAGCCAGGCAGCTTCTCCTCTGCGCCAGCCCACATGGAGCGTGGTGCACCCTGGCTGAGCGCCATGGCCAGCTGGCCGGGCAGCTGCTTCTCTTCCCTCCAGCCCGGCTGCCCTGAGCTCAGCCCAGGGAGGCTGCGCCTAGCTCCAGCTGTGAAAGCCACAGTCAGCTGGCTGGGGTGTTTCAGCCCTCCTGACCTCCCAGCTCCCACCATTCCTCGCAGCTACTCACCTGTGTTGTTGCTCAGTGAGTAGCTGCTCCTCAAATGAGGAAATCTAATGTAAATGTACTGTGCAGGCGCACAGTTCAGAGAGGGCTCAAGAGCTACTCTTAGAGCCCCTGAGATCTACCGGTAGCTCACAATCTACTGGTTGGTGACCACGGTACTTGTCTGTTTGTTTTTTTTTAAGCTTTTCCTGATTCAGACTAACTCACCTACCCCTCTGAAGCTTTTGAACATAAGACTGATTTCACTCTTTTGAATGATTGACTGGTGGCTTGGCTGTTTCAGAAAATAAAAATAGTCACAGGTTCCCTCATTTCTAGAGTCTGCAACATGCTTTATTTTCTTGTTGAAGCTGTAAGCTTTGGACCAGGTTTTTAAAGGTATGTATGCATCTAAAGATACAGACAGGAACCTAAATAGCTTCAAAATCTAGCTCCTTCCCTTGTCCCCAGAAATGAAAGATTAATCTTTAATTAAAGATGGTCATATTATGAAATCTCCAGCAATATATCCCTACAAAATTAGCAAGCCTATAAAAGATACATTTGCTTCAAAGCTCCTGTTACTTATTTGCACCAATGCTTATGCCCAGTCACCAAGATTGGTAGATGGTCAAAATAAGAAGATAAGGATCAGTGTCTTCTGGATTTGTCACAGGATCATTTAACTGCCTGATAAGTAGAGCCCTGCATCCACCTCTGTATCCACAAAAATGAGTCGCAGATATCCACATCTACAGAAGTGGATGTGGATTCCAGTGGATATAAAGCAGATAGTCTCAAATTTGCAGGACTCCAGATACAAAATTTGCATCTGCAGGCTGCATCCACATCCACAGATGCAGATACCTGCAGACCTAAAGCAGTATTAGTAAAACAGATCCTAAAATATCCTCTTTTTCTTTACTATTATTTATGCTAGAACAAGTCTTCCCTGACTTCAGATAAGCGTTTCCTACTTTAAAAAAAAAGTTTCGATGGAAAGAATGAGGGTTGTAATATACAAATGTACCTATTGAATTGTGCAGTAGAAAGCAAACTTCTCAGTCATCGACAAATGTACCTATTGAATTGTGCAGTACTGTAGAAAGCAAACTTCTCAGTCATCAATTCTTGCTGAAGTATGTGTATGTGGAGTGCAGATAAATAACAGAGCTTTTTCTCGAAAAATGGTAACCACTGGGATAGTCTCATGGGCCATATATCTAATTTCTGAGACTGATGTTATAGAACTCCCAGCTCTTGCTATTTTGAATTAATCTGAAAGCTGGTTAAAAAAACAAGGAAGGCTACTTTAATGCATGTCACAATAAGATATTTAAATTGTCACTCAGAACTGACTGAAATCTCACTCTTCTTAGAACCAATTAAACCAGAGAGTCCTTATCCATAGAGCCCTGCAAATCTGCGGCCATCTACTTTATGTCTGTGGGTATCCACATCCGTAGATGTGTTTGTGATCTGTGGCTCTAAGGGAAGTGGTAGAAGCCTCAACACTTGGAACATGTATACTAGCTGAATGTATTATCAAATTTACGTTAAAAAACAAAACTTGTATTGGCAGCAGGATGGACTAGGTCTAACAGCTAACGGTCAAATTAACCATTAGGCTAATAAGGCTATTGCCTTATGCCCTTCTATTGTTTAGACCCTCCTGGTCAGCAGGGCCTGGGCCAAGTGAAGAAGGGAGGAGCGACAGAGTTCCAGGAGGCAGAAGCAGGGACGGAGCAACTTAGGGGAGAGAGGCAGGGCACCTGCCATCTTTGCTCAGCTCTCCTATGCAATAGGGGGCTCCCTGGGGTTTCTCCCTCCCCCTGCCGATACCAATTTTTTTATCAGCTCTATTATCTCTTATCTCAATCTTATGAATTTTTAGCATATCCTTATAGGACAAGGTTGCTGCTTGGGACAAGGGGGCAATATCAGCATCCAGGCAGGCCCCATGAAGGGCTTAGCTCTTCTGAGATAATTTACTGTATGGAAAAGACACTAGAAATTTCACATTAATATTATTTGCAATTATTAGTTTAAGGAAGGTACTCTTCTGCACACCTGTTTGTTTCCTCCTCCTTCCATATTCTCCAGTCACCACAGATTTGTTTCTTGTCCAGTTATTTTTTCTTCTATCCCTCCTTGTTTTGTCCCCTTCCTGGGTTCTTCTACTTCTTCCTGACTCTGTCTTCCTACACTTTGGTTGCCACTGAGCTCTCTTTCAACACCCCAAAAATATTTTTGTCCTAGTATACAACCATAGGCCCATGGGCAGTCCAGATTGTACACCAGGGAAAAAAAAATAAAAGGGGGCTTAGTGCTGCCAAGTCCTGGAGTCATTCTGGAGAACTCAGGTTAACTTCAGAATATTGATTCTAGCAACAGCACTGATCTCCAGCTTGCTTGTTCATTTTTGTGAGGAATGAACAGATGACATGGAACTAAACCAGGGCAGCATGTTCTGTACTCTCTTCTACACATCTATAAGATCTGTTGCTGAATTTCCCCAAGGGGACTTAGTAGTTGCCAGACTAAACCAATAACAATTCCATTGTTTACTGACAAACAACAAGAGCATATTAACCATTGCGTGCCTATAATCCAGTCAATCTTATTGCTATTAGAAATCTAAGTTAAAATGGTCCTTTGCTTTGTCTGTTAGAAAAATAAATACACTCCAGAATCAGAATCATATCTAGAGGGGGAGGATAGCAGCTAAGTGCACATTCAACACACAACAGTCATTCCTTACATTACTTGGGATCTCATGTGTATATGAGAGCTAACAGGACCTTAGTTTTTAAGGTCTCTCTCATATTAACATTTTGTATGTCACAAACAGGACCAAGACAATCTTGCCAGGATTTCACCTTCAGTCGTCTGAGTCTAAGGATTTCAAACTCACTTAGATTGCCTAACCATTATAGTCTGTGTGTATGGTTAGGAAGGTAAGAAGAATCATGGGGAATACTGATCAAATGCATTTATTTTGCCACCAAATAAAAGTTTTAGATTGTACTGAGTACCTCACAATCTTTAGTGATTTAGTCTTCATAATACCCTTATGAGAGTACTATTTGTCCCAGATTCACAGGATTGGTACTATTCCACCAGCATTTTAACAGGCTCTCAGAGGAATTCTTTCAGTGTGCCAGACCACTCAAGGGTTCTCACTCTTCCTCCAGTCTCCTTGACAAACTCTGGGGTTCCAGCATTCCCGCTTCACACTTG